GGAGGGGGAGCCCAAGAATGGGGAGTTAGGAAGGGGGGACAGGAAGGGGTCCTTTCAAGCCTGGAGAAGGCTGTTTCCTTGTGTTACAACATTTGAGAGGAGGCAGGGGCGAGCACCTTCAGCTGGCCCCTCCTTGGTGAGGGGCCCACACTACCTCCACCCGCGCGTCTTGGGTCTTCTGGACCTTCCTCAATTGTTGCTCACTATCTTCCCCACTCCAGGCCCAAGTTCAAATTCCTCATCCTCAGGGACTCCAAACCTGGCTCCATGGAACCCCCAGTCTTTCCCGGGTCTTTTTTAGGGGGCCCTGGCTCTGCCTGTCCCTGGCCAAGCAGGGGTAGTGCAGGGGGAGAAAGAGAGAGAGAAAGATCCTCAACAGGGTTTCCGGGTTTGGGCCCTCACCACACCAAGAGCCTCCGCCTGTGAGGGAGGCCGCTCTGGGTGCAGATGGACATGGGGAGTGCCCTCCTCACAAGCGCTCAAGAAGTGTATGCGGCCCCCAAACAGCCTTCCTCCAGTGCCACAGCACTCGGGGATGTCACCGTGACGCTGCACCAGCACAGCTGTGGAATTGGGAAGTCACTGTCACTACCGATCCTTGAAATCTCTTCTTCTGCCCGCCCTCGGGTGGCGGGATGGGCGCCTGGCAGGCCCGGGGAGCTGCTCGGTAGGGGGGTGCGACAGTTCTCCATCCCCTCCCCTGGGACCCCACAGGGTGACTGGTGGGTGGGGCCTGTGGCCCACTGGAACGGAGCTGCCCTGCAATGCGCTCTGGTGTGGGAAGCTTAAAGCTACGCCTCTCCCTCCCGCAGGCCCTCCACGGGTCCTCGGGGCCTGGCCACCCCCCTGACCAGGCTATTTCACGGGGGCCTCAGGGCACCAAGGAGCCTGGACTCCCTGTGGCGGCCCCACCTTCTGTCGCTGTGGTCTGTTCACACTTGAGGCAGCCTCCTGGGACCCAGCCTGAGAGCCCACCGGACCCCCTCACACAATCCCTCGCCTGGGCCAGAAGCCCAGCCTGTCTCCGGCTCTCTAGTGTGCAGGTGAGATATCAGTCCACCCGATTTCTCAAACTGCAGGGGACACCATGAGGGCCCCTTCCTTCTGGCTGGACGGGTGGGGATCCCAGCCCTCCCCTTGGGCTCCGCTCACCTCAAAATCTCCCCCCTCCAACCTCAACACCTGACTCTTGGGTGTCCTCAGGGTGGTGAGGATTCAGGCCACCTAAATTCTATATCACTCGTGGGCAGAGCCCGGGGCTGGGGTGGGGTCAGCTCTCAGCGCACGGCCCCCCTTCGTCCCCCAGGGTGCTGCGGTGTTCTGGCAGCATATGTAAGATGGGGGAATGCTCACTGCTCCGGGAGTGGCCCATCCAGGAAGGGCAAGGAGCGATTGGGGGCCACAGGGAAGAGGCTTCAATCCAGCAGCACATGGGGTGTGGACCAGGCTGGCCACACCTCCCAGGTCAATCCCTGGTGTTTAGGCCTGGGAGACAGGGCACCAGGAGAGAAAAGTAGAGAGGTCCTGACTCTAGGAGGGTGGAAAAGAGGGACACAGTCCATGACCCCCCAGAGCCAGAACACAGGCTGACCCCAGAGAATTCAGATACCACCGGAAATGCCATCATTGGTTGATGCCTCTGGGTAACTGCACCCCTTCTACTCAGCTCCTATCCAGTCTCTGGGCCTTAGTTTTCTCAACCATAAGGAGGTGAACAACAGTGCTCACATCTGAGCTAATTCATGTGAAGTGCTTAGCACACTTCCTGGTTCATTCTCAGAACTCAATAAATGTTAACTGTCTTTGTCCCCCCAGGTGGCCTGAGCGGGCCCCTTCCCACACGGCCCTTCCTCTGCACACTGGAGCCAGCTGGAACTGCCCTGGCCAGCCACCTGGGACCTCAGAAGGCCCAGCCCATGTGGCATTTCTTTGGCGGAATCTGGGCCTTTGCTCTGGGACGGCCAGGCTGGAGCATCTGGCATGTCCCAGGGCCTTCAATCTGTCATCCCTGCTGCCACAGGGACAGCAAGGGCACTTGGATCAAATCTCCTTGGAGACAGGGCCTCCCTCCCACACAGCCCTGGGGAATTGAAACTGGCAGCGTGCCCAGAAGGAAAAGAAGGAAAGGCCACCAGAACCAGAGGACCTGAATCCAAAGCCTGGCTGGGCTTCGACTTGTAAGACCTTGACTTGTCCCGTAGCTTTCCAGAGCTTCGTGCTCAACGGTGAAACAAGCATGAAAATCCCCACCGCCTTGAGGGAATGTCATGAAAACAGAAGAGAATGTGACCACAAAGGGGCTTTGTTTTACACAGAAAGTAGGATGAGCGTTTTAGGACTCCAGCATTTTAAAACTGAGAAAAAATTTATTTTTCTCTGTAGCTATTTTTGTCTCTCTGTCACCTGCTGAGTGCCACCCCCATCCCCAGTTACCAGGGCCTACAGTGATACTCTCCAAACCAAGCTCCTTTGAACAGTCAGTGTTCAGTTGGCTGGGTGAAGGTCTCTGGATCCTAGATTCAATGAGTGAAAGCCTTTCCCGAGTCAGGAGGGTGGTGGTGGTGGGTGGTGGTGGGGGGAATCCGTTAATTTTGTAGAACTCCTACTTCTGATCATGGTGAACTAGGTAATTTGCCCTAAATTCCCAACTAAGGACAACTTAAAAGCTAGTCAAAATATATATTTTTAAGTTTGATTGGAGGTATCAGAGAGTAAACAGGGAGTAAAGAATCACAGGGCCAAGATCTGGGAAAAGAAGGAAACCCAGAGACATGTGCCTGACATTTGAGGCTACTTTCTCCCTGGGAGGTCCGCTGATCCCCGAAGACCTACAGAAGTGCTGAGCAGAGAGCTGGTAGAGGTAAAAACGAGGCCCACCAAGAGGAGGGGGTGCCTGGCAAATCTTTTACGCTTTGGGTTGGGACCCTAGAGGGAGTCAGCCCCAGGATACAAATGAACTGGAAATAGACCAGCACCCCAAGGGACTGCAAATCATCTCAGTCCTGAAACTAGTTTAAAACAATCCTGGTTTGCTAGATCGCAAGCCATCCACCAGATGTAAACATAATCCTCGAGATGGTAGATAACTTCATCCTATGCCTCAGATTATTTCTACAGGTTTTCAGAGGCAATGTGTGGCATTCAATCAAAAATCACCAAGTATGTGAGGAGACAAGGCAAAACCAACAAAAACCAAGATAAACAACAGACACTAGAAATAGACTCCAAGAGGTTCCATATTAGGAAGTTATTAAATTTTTAAAATAACCATGTGCGGTATGCTCACCTATCGAAAAGATAAGGTAGAGAACTGGAAATTATTTTTTAATTGTTTTCTCTATTTTCATCCCATCAATTTCATTCTTAACATGCAGGGTGCCACAGTTCCCCTGTGTAGGGCAACAGATGAGAAACAAGCCCAAAAAGCTTTGGGAAAAGCCAAAAAAAAAGAAAAAAAAAGGCAGTTGTACCTCATTCAAGGATGCCTGCTTGGAGTGTGCTTGCAACAGTGACAGTAGGTTGTGTATCCACCATCCTAATTTCTAGTAGCAGATCTGTTGTTGGCTTGTAAGATGCAATTCAACATAAACACCCCCTGAAACTCAGCAGACTAATATCTTAAAGGGCTTTGCACCTTTGAACAGGGACCCATCTCCCTCCTCCTTTGTACCTGCCAAGACCCAGCTCGGCCCATGGCCCAGAGCAGTCACAGCAAAAAAAAAAAAAAAAAGGCAGCATCTCAGCATTTGTTTTGTGCCAGGCTCCTGCCAAGGGTCTTCCATGCAATGTCACATTTTTCATAGCCCTAGGAGGTGGTCATGACTATTTTCTCCAATTTAGAAATGGAGACACTGAGGTCTAGGGAACACACAGAACATGTTCAAGGTGTCCTAGCTACCACGCATTAAAGCCAGGATGTGCAGCCAGGTCTGCTTGCTCCCAGAGTGGGTCCCACTCCCCATCTGCTGATTGCTGGGGTAATCCTGGATGTCTACAGTCAGAGGAAGCCTTGGATTTTCCTCTCCAAAAAAACTCATTAAATACCAACTGCATAGAGGGCCCTAGCCTGAGCTGGTGTCAGACATCCAAGGCCAAGGCTTAGGAAGTGACAACACTTTAATGGATCTGAGGTTTTGTCCATCTCTTCTCTCTCCTTCTCCTTTTCCCTGTTTCTGGGACTCAGCATCCAGCATGCAGAGAAGACACAGGATGGACCAGGCCTCATGCATAGGATGGAAAGAGTAATGGCCAAAGTACAAAATCCATTTGTGGCCACCAGGTCTCTCCCGGGAAAGCCGGGTGGGGGTTGTCAAAGAGGCTACCTTCTGGGGAGCTGGGGGTGACCCCCCCCCCACTCTGGCCCGTGTCCCAGGTCCCTTCCTAGGGAGACAGTGCTCAGAGAGGAGCTGCAGGACAAAACACTATTTCCAACCCAGGGTGTAGGCAAGGGGCTCAGCCTTCAGACAGGCCTCCCTCACTCCACAGGGTGGCCAGAAATCCAGGCCAAGGCCTGTGGAAGGTCCAGGTGTCTGGGCAGTGGAGGGCTTGAGGGCCATGAGGCAGAGCCCTAGTGTCCCCTGGCCTGCTTGGTGGCTTTACCTGACTAGCTCAGTTGGGCAGGAGGGGTCCCTGGGTGCCAGCAAGGCAGTGGGATGAGGTAGAAAGGGGACAAAGCAGGGAAGAAGGTTTCCCTGGCGGGGAGGACATAAGGGCTCGGGCAGAGTGGAGTTGGACAGGCGGGCAGGTCAGACGATGGAAAGGGGCGGGAGCTTGGTAAGGAGTGGGGGCAGGTGTGGCAGGGGGTGGGACAGAGGGTGACAGAATGGGGTTGGGCAGGGCCTCTGTCTCACCCAGGGGGCTGAGGATGGGGTTCCAACAGATGGAGAACAGGCTCCCCCTGGTGCTAATATGTTGCAGTGGGGAGGATAAGGGATCGATATCTGGAAGAACCTATTGGCTCCTGTAGCTCAACAAAAGTTAAATGTGCTTTTGAGAATGAAAAAAGGGGTTCATGGGCAACAAGGGGGGGGAAGAAATAGGCAAAATGGGGTCAGGTAATTGGAGTTGAAGGACAATCCAGGCCTGATGCCAGTCTGGGCTCTGAGCAAGGGCAACAGAAGTCCTCTGGTCCAGGGCAAATCAGAGGAGGAGGAAGGCAGGCAGCCCCAGGCATCACCTTGCAGCCAGCAAATACCCCTGTTATGGATTAAGAACCAAAGGTGAGGGAGAAGGTGGGGAAGGCAGGGCTCAGGCTGAGTGGGCCAGATCCAACACTCAGACCCCACCAAGTCCCAGAACCTTCCTGCCCTCCTGGGCCCTAGAGACCCCAGATCCCAAACCCATCCCTTCCCTTCCTACGCCCCACTCCCGGCACCAAGGAACGAAGCGGGTGGGGAAACTTACCCACTGAGGTCCTACAACTTCAGGGAGGTGACCCGGGGGATGTGGAAGAGCTGAGTCTCCTCAGAGCTGGTGGAACTGTGATGTCGCAAAAAGAAAGTGAGTGAGCCCCCAGACACAGACCCTCCGCCCCGACACAGGGACAAGCCCAGAGCCCGATTTTCCCACCGTAGAAGCTCTCCAGGGGTAGGAAGAGTTCCAAAAAGCTGTGCCTGGAGGGGATGTGTTGCAACAAGCAGGTTATGGGGCAGACATACGAAAGAACTTCCTGGCCCTGGAGTTGCTCAGAGCGTGTGACTCTTCAGAGCTTAGGCATGAGCCTCCTCTGCCGGGGAGGCCTCTGGAGGGGGTGCGGCAGGGGGTCAGTGCCCAGCGACTACAGGGCCTCCTTCCTGGACCCCAGCTGCCCCCCTCAGTCCCGGCAGTCTCCTCACCTGAGGCGTTTCCAAATGGGATGAAAGTATTTGGAGGTCTTGACAGCAAAGATGATGCTGGGGATCAGGAAGAAGGTGCACCATGCCAGGCAGAACCAGAAGGCGTTCTAGAACAGAGGGTGTGAGGTCAGCTTGCTGGGGCTAGGCAGCGACTTGTTCCCAGCCCCAGTCTTCGCACTGACTCAGCGAGGGGCACGGGGAAGCGCTCTCGGGGCTGAGGGGAAGGTCTGGTGTGCAGGCTTGGAGGAAGTCCCCGTGCCCTGAGGAGCTGGAGGCACTCACCCAGGGGTTGGCCATCATGTCACACAGGACCACACGGCCATTGTCCAGGGCTCTGGAGAGAGGTTGGCAGGTGGCAATGCGCTGAGTCACCTGCAGTGTCAACACGAGACAGGCACAAGCAGAGACGCTCAGATGCACGGGTGCACACCCCCCATTCAGAGAAGGAGGGTGACAGGGACAGAGATAGAGCTGGGGACAGTTGGGAGCCACGGCACAGCTGTACACAGACACGTGGATGCAGGGACATGGAGATGGAGACACACTGACGCAGGCTCATTGCTCTGCTCCTGCCTCTTCCATCCCATTCGCCAGCCTGGATTAAGCCCCTACTGTGTGCCCAGGACTGTTCCGTAGGTTCACACCCACACTGGAGAGGCCCCACGTGTGGTGTGCATGCACACACCTATGCCCCCCATACACGTGCACACGCACACGCACACGCACACGCACACTTGGGGTTCAGCAAGACCGCACCCGCCCAGTGTGGGCGCCGGACAGCTTGCAGAGGCCGTGGTCAGCACAGGCCTGCAGGAGGCGGTGCGCTTGGAGAGCTGGGCAAAGGGTCCGCGTGAGGAAGGGCACAGAGGCAAGGCTCTAGAGAGCCACGGCTGGCCCAGCTCGCACTCAGGCCTCAGAGAAGGGCTGCGGCAGAGGCTGAGTGAGCAGAGCCCCCCCAGGAAGCAGGGGTGCAGATGCCAGACGCAGAGTTTGGGTTCAATGTTGGAGGCCTAGGGCACCCCCAGGGGCTTTAGGGGACAGAGGAGGGATGCAAGAGTGTGGAAAGCCGGTGGCGCCGGGAGCCTGCTTGAGGCCGGGAGGGCCTGGACCCCCACTCACCTCCTCTTTTACCCAGGCCACATACTGGGAGAAGTAACCCACCTCCCGGGTCAGGAAACACTCACTTTCCTGCAGGGGAGAGAGGAGCCCATGGCTGGTAGGTGTCCCAGGAACCAGCCCGCACCGCCCCCCATGCCCGGCACCAGCAGGACAGGCCGAGCTGGCTTTCCTGGGAGCCACCGTGAGGGTGGCTCAAAGTGGAGGAGAAGCCTAGGTGGACGCTCCATGTACTTTAGCATCTCTATGTGGCAGCCCCCCTGCCCCTGTCCCATGTCCCACTCACATTCCTCAAGATACTGGTGGCCCAGGTAGGCAGCTCTCCTTTTAGGTAAGCGACCTTGTCCAAGACACCAGAGGTCTCCAACTGGGGGAAAGGAGAGAGGCTTGAATCAGCGCCCTGCTCAGTCAGGAGCAGCCATGCATTCACTCACCCACTCCTTAATTCAACGTCTCATGCACACATACTCACCTTGGGTTGGGGGTGTTAGGCCCTAAGACACAGAGGCCAAAGACAGTGGTCTTTAAGGATCTGCCCATCCACCCCCATTTCTTCCCCCCACCTTCCTCAACCTCCAGGGGGACTCGGCAGAGCAGATGAGATCCCAAGCCAGCAGGACCCTTCCTTTTCCCTCTGTTGCCCACCTGCTCCACCCGACCCTCCCCATCCCCAGCAGCCACCTGGAGATTTGGGGCTGAGGATGCCAGGGCCCTGACAGAGAGGTTGAGCTTGGCCTGTGGAGGAGAGAGCGGGGCTGGTTAAGGGAAGGGATGCATAGAGAAGAAAGTTTCCTGCCCCTCCCTCCTCTTTTACCCCTCCCTGCCTCTCCTCTTCCCCAGGTTCCAGGCTCCCTGGGCCTCCAAACTTACCACAAGGCTCTGCTGGGGGAGGATCTTCTCCTGATAGAGGTTTTTGAGCCCTTGGGCCTCCTCCTGCAGCTGCTGCCCCAGCACAGAACTGCCCTGAGGGGAGACAGAGATGAGAATAGTACTCTGCCAAGGACAGGACAGCCGCTGCCAACCTATGCTTTACCCACCTGTTCAGTCAGACATACTGGGAAGATGTGGAAAGTGCTGGGCTCGGAGGCAGAAAACCGAGGCCTCCTTAAGCTCCTGGGCCTGATCCAGGTTTGGAGGCACTGAGCCCAAGTTCTAGGTCTACCACTAGTTCACTAGATACCTCTACACCAGCCACACTGAGTTTGTCTGAGGTGCAGTGGCATCTCCTAAAACAGTAATACTCCTCATTCTGCCCACCTGAGCGCTTAGTGTGGAGTCGTGTCTCAAAGAGCACTTTTTAAGCTCTAAATATTTATAAATACAAAATGCTACTTCTTCCAGTAGAGTTTAAGCTTCTTGAGGATAACTGTCATGACATCTAGTCCACAGCACTGTCCTCACACCTGCCCCAGCAGACTCCATGAGCAGTGTGCACTTAGAAATGCTTGCCTCACTGTATGATGTCCGACCAGTCACTTCATCTGGTCTGAGGTGGAGGATAACCCACTTCACAGATGAGGAAACCGAGGCTCAGAGATGCTGAATGACCTGCCCATGGCCACACAGCCCATTGGAGGGAGAGCTTGAGTCAGAATTGATACTGCAAAACCCTTAAGCCCGCCCCAGGGACCCAGAGCCTCAGCGCTCACTGGTGGGAACCCTGTAATCCCCTTTGTCTTCGCGCCCGTCCCCAGTGTAAGCCCTCCCACGCTCTCCCACCTCCCGGGCCTCTCTCTTGAGTCTGGCCTGCCCAGTGGGGTCTCTGGCCCCTTCTCACTTGGGCCTGGGACAATTCTTCCAGCTCCTGGGCCAGCTTCTCCATGCTGGTGTTCACCACGGGCTTCTGGATCTGGAGACAGACAGGGAGGCCAACAGGGAATGCACTCTGGCTCCCCCAGCCCTCCAATTCCCAATCTATTCAGAAGTACCCCGCAGCAGCTAAGTCTATTGTGACACACGGCTCACAGTGGGTTTGACCTGAAACTGTGAAATATATCAGGAATTTTCTATTAGCATAGAAAACAAACAAACAAACAATGAGACGCCTTCTGGTGTAACTCAATGAAGAGGCCGCCTCCCACCAGCATTCGCCACAGCAGTGAGTTCAGGACCATGAACAGCGACACGTGCTGTTGGGTGGGGGCCCATTCATTCCTGCCCAGCCCAGATGGGGGCACCGGGACAGGCAGGAGGCGCATGGTGTACAGACACCCCCAACAGGAAGAGACCCCCCCAGGGACATATACAAAAGTGGAGGGAGTGGGGAGGGCTGTGATGACATAAGACACCACCCCTCGGCCCAGCTCCTCTGCAAGCCCCTCTGTCTGCCATGGTCTGGCCTGACGTGCTCCCTGCTGACCTGAACAAGGAAGCCGGAATAGTGGATTTTCTCAAGCCCACTGCTCTGCAGGGCTTCCAGGTCCCGGTGGGCGGCTGGGCTCAGCAGGTCCAGATTCTTCATGTCTACTTTGAGGTTCTGCAACTCCTGCTGCAGCTTGGCAGTGTACTAAGGGAGGGCGGGGGGACAGGGTGAGGGCGTGCCCAGTTGCTGAGCCAGGATCCCAGAGCTGCTATCCTAGGTGAGGAGTCACCAGGCCCTCAGGGCCCTCCTTCTGCATGTCCAGGACCCCCATGTTGGAAACTTCCAGCCCCAGACAGTTTCCCAGGAGGCCTCTGCTTCTCACCTGCCCCCACTCCAACCCACCCCCACCAAGACTTAGCTCTCCACCAGCACCTATCTGGCCAGTGGACAGCAACACAGACCTTCCCTGGCCACCCACTATAAAATAGCTTCCCTGGCCCGCCTTTATGACTGTGGGAGCTCAGCGGAGGGCCTCTGGTGAGCCCTCCCCCAGGGACTCCCAACATCATCACCATTGTTTTCACTGTCACACCCCATCCCCAACCACCGCACTACTGACCGCAGCATTCCAACCAATGCCTGTCCTCAGTCAGGACACGCACACCCTACCTGTCACTCACTCTCACCAGCCCTTGCTGCTACAACCTCAACCGTGTTCAGTTCTTGGAGCACAGTGTTCGGAGCTGTGCCTCCAGGCACTCACCCATCCTCCCACACACCCTAGAAACCATCCTGGACTCTCACCCTGGGCCAGGCCCTGAGCTTACATCCTAGACTCTCACCCTGGGCCCGGCCCTGAGCTTACAAGGGCCTCCGCCCCTTGAGGTACCTCCATCACTCTTGCAGACTTCTCGGGTTCAGTAAGATGGTCCCGCCACAGAGGCAAGGCCAGAGGAGGGGGGTTCTGCAGGAGGGATCCCCACAGCCTTCCAGAAGTTTCCCTCACCTGGCTGATATTCAGGTGCTTCTCCAGGTCATAGGAGCCATTGAGCTGCAGGATGTTCCAGAGCGCGGCCCCTTCCCTGCATTGCCTGGGGAGGAATAATGGACTTCGAAGATGGCAGAAAAGGACAGCAGGTGGGGGCTGACATCCGCTACTTCAGCTCCTCCCCACACCCTGTCCCCCAGCCGAGGCTTCCCACTCACTGATAGGCCAGGAGGATGCTGATGTTCTTCTTCAGGCCAAGAAGGTGAGACAAGTTCATGGATGGGGGCAAGTTCCCTGGGGTGTCTGCAAACTGGAAATGGGGCAAAGAGAAAAGGGCCCTGAGCAGGCTGAGGGCAAGGCCACCCCCAGCTCCCCGAGAGCCTGGTCCCCTCCACCTCCCTCTGGGTCCCAGAGCAGGGCAGGCAGGGTCACCTTGTAGAGCTCCTTGCTCTCCCAGCTCTGACACACCAGAGTCTGCACATTGCCGCCCACCAGGAAGGTGGCAAATACAAGGAGGATGAGGGGTGCGGCGAAGAAGAAGCTGAAGCCCACACCTCTGCGGAAGGCAGGGGGACGGGGTTGAGGTGGGAGACAGGAGGCTGGCTACCCTGGACCACATACCCTCTGTCCCACCACATGGGGGGGCGGCCAGCATGGTCAGCGAGTCAGCCCCAGGGCAGAGCCCTTTGAGGACTCAGCCTCCTAAGGCCAGGAGGGAGAAGTCAGAACAGCTGGCTGCCCCCCCCGACCCCCACTCCCACCTATCACTGACGCCCTGGCTGGCCCTGGCAGCCTAGAGGAGAGAGTAGCTGCTTTGCTCGAAGACACAGGACAGCCTGCCTCTGAGCCGAGGGCACATGGAGGTGACCGGCTCCAGAGCTCGGCCCTCAACAGAGCCCCCTGGCACAGTGGGGACCGCAACCTAGAGGGGCTGAATGGGACCAGTGCTGCTGACCTGTAGGGCTTCTCTGTGGGATAGGCACAGCCCCAAGCCAGGGTTTGAGGCTTGGAGAATAGAACAAGGACTAGATTTCAGCCTCTACTCGCCCCTTTCTTCAGGCACCATCATGCAAGGACCAGCCTGCACAGCTGAATGTGGCGGCCCCGGCCTTAGAAACCATCTAGTCCAGAGATGGCAAACAGATTCTACCTCTACCTCTGGGGCCACCTCCTATTGGTAGTGCTATCTAGATGCTGGGTTAAGGATTCTGAGGCTACGTCCAGCTCAGTGGGACAGAGTGCCCATTGGTTACTATAATTGCCACTGGTATGGAAGGGGGAAGTGCTTCGTATATGCCATTCCTGCTCTAGTCCAACCCTTTTACACAGATGAGGACGTGGAGGCCCAGATGGGTTAGCAATTGGCCCAGAGTCACCCAGTGAGTCAGTGCCAGAACCAGAAGCAAACTCAGCCTCTTGATTCTCAGGACTTGCTCCTGTAGCCACACTAGGAGCTGTCCATGGGCATGAGAGGAATCCGGCCGGCCCGGTGGGAAAGACCCTTCCCCTGCCCCCAGCCCATCTTACATCAGGAGGAAGCGGGCCCCAGCCTCGCCCTTGGCTTCCGAGCAGCTGGGGTCCTCCCTGGCAGACAGTCCCCAGATGCCCAGGTTGAGGCCCAACAGGTTACAGACCACCACAAGCAGGACTGCGGAGCACAATACGCAGCCCAAAATCCACCTGCCACAGAGAGGGTGTGGTGTCACTGAGAAGGGAGACACCAGGTTGGGCTGGCATAGGCCTTATGGCTAGGTGGGGGCCCACTGCTCCCTCATTGCCTCCCCAGGCTCAGGTCCCAAGGGTACATAGTCAAGGTGGAGATGGAGGCCCAAGGAGTAAGGGGTCTTGGCTGAAATGGAGGCAGATGCTCAATATGGCCAGGGGTTGGTGAGGGCTGAAAATCGGGGCCCAGCGTGGCTGAGAGGCCAGGCTGCCTGTCCCATCCCCAAGCCCATGGGTTCCCGGGCACCTGTATTTCTCGTATCTCTGCACCTCCTTCAGGTAGGGGCGGCTACTCTGTTCCACCTCCTTCAGCGCCCGGCTCCAGCGAGAGGCTGCCTCCCAGCCTGGGAACTCTTCGGCCAGTGTGTTCAGCCCTTCAGGCTTCTGGGCCACCAGCTTCTTCAGCTCTGCCCCAAGCAGCAGAGACTCATGGGAGGGGGAAGTCTCCCAGGAGCCCAGGGAGGAGATGGATGGGCCAGAAGAAGTTCTGGGACCCCCAGAGAGGGCCCACTAAAGAGACCAGGCCCAGGGCGCCTGGGTGGCTCAGTTGGTTAAGCGACTGCCTTCGGCTCAGGTCATGATCCTGGAGTCCCGGGATCGAGTCCCGCATCGGGCTCCCTGCTCAGCGGGGAGTCTGCTTCTCCCTCTGACCCTCTTCCCTCTCGTGCTCTCTCTCTATCTCATTCTCTCTCTCAAATAAATAAATAAAATCTTTAAAAAAAAAAAAAAAAAAGAGACCAGGCCCAGATGGAGGACAGCCTGCACCCTCCCCCCATCGCCCCTACTGCCCCACCCCCCTCTCCAGGAGCCTCTCTGGCAGGAGCAGCACGCTCGGCAGCCAACCCGGCCCCCGGACAGGGCCTCACCTTTGACCACGTTGGCCGTCTGCAATGCCACCAGGAGCGGGAGGGCATTGAAGGTGCTGTTCTCCTGCCAGAACAAAAGGCAGCTGTGCCTCCTGCTTTGCACCCTACGGTCCCAGCTTGAGGGGCCCCTGACAGCACCAGGCCGGGGCGGGGGGGGGGGGAAGGGTATTATCCCGCTCAGCGCTCCCAGCTCAGGAGATCAGGAAACAGGCCTCCCTTTGTTCTCTTGGTGGATGGCCTCTTCCCTGCTCCCTCAGCCCAGCCTGACTCGGCTCCCCAGAACATTGCTCCTGGAAGACGCCCCTTTCTCTCCCCGCCCCTCCTGCTGAGGCCGTGGCAGCCTCCGGCCACCCTCTTCACTTTCATTCATCCTGCCTGCCACGCCAGCCTCGCTCCCCAAAGTCCAGCTCCAACCTACTCCTCCAGCCTCAGCTGCTGTTCCCTTCCTCCCGGGACCTTCGGCTCCAGCCACCCAGCACAGGTGACTCACCATTTCCCCAACTCTGGCATTTTCCAGGCCCTGGGTCACAGTGCTGCCTCATGTGCACCCTCCCCCACAGCCCATCTGCCCCGAGGGCTGCACCTCCAGGGCTCGGCTCGCGTCCTGGCTCCCTGGCCACCCCAGCCCCCACCACCTCGAGGGGCCCAGCTCTTCCTTCTGAGTTCCCGGCCTGCCTCCCCCACCAGACTGCGTGCACTCGAGAACCAGCATCATGAGCCTCTAGCCCAGGGAGCCCTGTGGTAGGGAAGGCCCTGATTTGACCCAAGTCTTAGGTTCAACGGGGTTCCCACCCCCAAAGGGGGAAAATGAGGCCCCCTCACTTGTGAGCTGCCAGGTGGCGGGGAAGTCAGGTAGAATGGGCAGGCACCTCACCTCCTGGACCATGCTGGAGAAGGTGGCCTCTGGGACACCCTTCAGCCGATGCAGGACGTCGTCCACAGTGGATACCTAAAATGGGGGCAGTGGTATGACAAAGTCCATGGAGAGGCCAAAGGGGGAACCCTGAGGGAGGATGGGAGAAACCCTCATTGTCCTCACGTGCAAAACGGGGACCACCTCCCGAGGTGGCAAGGAGAACTCAAGGAGCTAAGATACAGGAAGCCCACAGCACAGCGCGTGGCCCAGGATAAAGCTCTTGCCCGGCTGCCAGGATGACTAGCATTAACCCGTGCTGTGTGGAGAGGGGAGGAGCTGCTCGAGGGAAGGGAGCTAGAGTTTGCCTCGGGAAACACCCAGGGATTCCCGGGGCAGCGGGCAGAGCAGCCCCCTTCCCTTCGGGGGGGCCCTCACCTGGTGGAAGTCAGCTCCCAGCTCCAGGGCACGGGCTCGGCTCTGGGCCTCGGTGCAGCGCCGGCAGCCGGGCTCCTGCAGCAGGGCGAGGAGGCGCGCGCGGTGCTCCCGGATGGCCGGCTCCAGGTCCTGCTGTCCTTTCCGCAGCTCCACCAACGTGGTGTTCAGGGCTTGCAGGTGATCCACAGAGACCTGCAGGGCTGAGAGACACCCTTCAGGACCCGGCGACCTCAGAGGTCTTGTGGGAGATAGAACACCCCCCCTCCCCCCAACCCAAGGGATGTGGGTCATGAACCTCCGTAGGTTCATAATGGAGACTGCCCTAGGGCATGTTAAGCCAGGTTGGGGATCCGAGGATAAAGCCATGAGCAAGTCAGGGGAGGGGCTCGCTGAGGCGGCATAAGAAATCCGGGCTGGGTGAGGGTGGGCCTGTCCCCATGCGACGCCCACCCAGGACACTGGGCCCACTCACCCTGGCCTAGGCTGCTCACTGAGGCCAGCGCTTCATACACGGTGCTCTTGAGCTGGGTGTGGATGGTGCTCCCAATGCTCATGCCGACACCTGGAGAGCACAGGGTGGTCTGCAGGGCTGGCCCCCAGGGGTCTAGGGGCCTTCTTCACCCATCCAGCCAGCCTCCCCAGGCCCTGCACTGGGCTCTGCAGGGTAGGTGCTGGCTTCTTGGTCCTGCAGCAACAGGGACTACTGTGCTCCCTGGCTGGGCCCCATCCCTGCCTCTTCAAGGCTGTGCCCAGGGGGAGCCCAGGATAAGGGGATGAGAGGGGTCTCCCAAGGCAGGCCAGAGCAGGGTGATCCAGGGGCCGGCCAGTCTGTCAGCCAGCTGTATTGCTCACCATCCAGTTCCTCCAAGACTCGCTTCTGAGGAAGGGAGAACTGCTGTGCCACGGCCTGCAGCTCCTAGGCAAACACAGGGTCAGGAGGCTGCTCTCCCGTGCCACCTGACAGCCCCCCTCTCGTCCCTTCCCCAGCCCTCTCCTGGGACGCCACACGCAGCTGGGTGGTCATCCTGAAGATGCCCTGGGTGCATTTATTTATTACTGCAACTCTCCAGCAGGAGGCAGTCAGGCGTGTGTTGAAGGTGGGACCCTTTCTAACTCGCAGGTCCCGCACTCTTCTGTCCTGCCTGGGGCTGGTGCTCATGGGGGCTCGAGGGGGGGTGAGGGGGTTGCTCAGTACTCACCTGGGGGACATCGGAGACCAGGCCCCGGAGGCTGAGCAGAATCTCAGGCACGGCCTCAACACTGGGGCCCACCTGCTCATGCATGTGCTGGTTGGTGACAAAGGCACAGACCACACCAATCCTGCAGGGATGGGGGAGGAGGCAGGGGCTTGCTGGATGCCCATGGGCAGCCCGGGCCTCAGCCCCCGCCTCCCGCCTGGCCTAAGCGCCCCTCACAGTAGCACGAGGGTGGTCAGCAGCAGGAAGGCCGCGAGGGTGCCTCGCTCCCAGGCGACGGCCTTGTGCTCGGTCTTCACTCGGCCCCCGCAGCGCCGGCGGCAACGGCAGCAACAGAAACACAGCCCGGCGATGGACACCACCAGCAGGTAGAGGCCGGCGATCACAGCACACACCACGTAGCCAGCCTCATACCGCACCACCTGGGCGAGGCAGCAGGCATGACGGGCCGTCCTGACCCTCACACGGCCTCCTGCCTGGCGCCACAGGGGAACCAGAAGGGGAGGGAATGCACACACGGCGGGCACCTTGCACACATCTCCCTGAACCCATGCAAGGAGCACGGGGTCCTTGTTGTTATTTGCCAGCTTGTAAATGAGAAAGCTGAAGTCCACGTTTGCTCCCTGCAAAACCCCGGGGCCAGTTAATGGCAGAGCTGTGGTTTGAAATCAGGTCTGCCAAGTGCAGCGCTGATGGAAGGGGGAAAGGGATGGCCGGGACCCCATGATGGGGGACACCCAGCAATGGGGGCTGAGCTGAGGAGGCCTTTCTACTTCTGCCCCTCATGCTCACCCTTGAACTCCCCCCCCACCACCTCCCGCACCGCCCCAAGAGCTCACCTCATCCACCTTCACGGAGGCCGGCTCATTCAGCAAGGTCTTTACCAGCTCTAGGGAAAGAGTCAGGCGGGGGGGGGGGGGGGGGGGACCTCTGGAGGGGCCCCCCCCACCACCATGGCCCCCTCCGAGAAGCCCTGTGCCATCATGCCCAGGATTCAGTGCCACCACAGGAGGGAGAGCCTGAGAGGAGGCCTGTCCCACCCCTCCTCCTGGACCCAACAGCTAGGCCCCGCACTGGAGAAGCCGCCTGCCTGGTTAGAAGCAGAGAAGGGGCCTGGCTTAGCAGCCCTTTCCCTCAAGAGGCAGCGGACCGGCTGGGAGGGACAGGGCTGTAGCCCTTCCTGGCCCTCCCAACCCCTAGCACCACTAGACCCAGGGAAAAATCTCAGCCCGGCCTTTGAGAACTTCTAATGTAAGTTCTTCCACTTGAGGGCAGAGAAACTGAGGCTCAGAGAGGAAAAAGGGCTTGCCCAAGGTCACGCAGGAAGGTCTCTCCAGGTGATGCCCCTGGGCCCAGGGGGCTTCGGGGAAGTAAGCCGAGGGGTGGGGGGTAAGGCCGGGGACCCTGCCCTCCGAATGCCTGCTGACAGGGCGGAGGAGCCCCGCCGTGGAGTGGAAACCCACTAGCTCCGAGGCCCACCCGAGGGAGGGGCGCACTCACCGGCGGGGAAGGGGTTGAGCTGCACCACGGAGAGGAAGCGGCGCACCGTGCCGTACAGGGGGCTCAGGGCCCCCAGCGGGCGGACGCGAGGGGCCAGCCAATGGACCTTGGCCGCCGGGGCGAACGCCAGGCGCTCTGCGCCGCCGAGGGACCCGCAGTCCGCGGCCCCCGCCCCGGGCGGGCTCAGCCCCAGCCCCAGCCCCAGCAGGGGCGCCAAGAGGCCCGGCGCGCGCGTCATGGGGTGGGCCGGGGGGCTGCGGGGCAGGCCAGACGGGGCTCAGGCGGCCGGGGGTGCGGACAGAGCGCGGGGCAGGCCGTGCATCCTTCACCAGCCTGCGTCCCCGCGGCTCTCAAAACCGGCCCGACAGGTTTGGGCTCCTGAGCTACCTGGGCGCCCGCCCGCAGCGCTGGAAGGGCAGGGGCGGAGGCCTGGGATAAGGGGGCAGGGCCTGGCGGGGACCCGCCTTCAGCGGCCTGGGGTGCGAGTCCGGGCTCCCTCTGCCCTCCCCAGATCCTCCTGGGAGGGCCGCCTCCGAGCTGGGTAGGGGAGACACCTCAGTGGCTCTGGATTGTTTAGGTGGCCCAATTTCAAATATGATATTCCATACCCAGACCCACCAGCCCAATGTGGGGCTGGGAAAACAGCCACCCAGTGCAGCCCTGGCCCAAGGGGTGGCAGGCGGCACAGACCCAGGAACCAGGCTCCTCCCCCAGCTTCCTCTGAGGCCCGTTCTGTCCCTCGGGTCATGCCTGCACCTGCCGCCGATCCAATCTGGAGCAGAGAGGCCACCAGGCTTTGCCCAGAGTGGCTCTCAGAGAAGCCACTGGGACAGGCACAATCCTTTGGGAGGGCGAATCCCTGCAAAGGTGTGCCCTTTGGCCCAGCAATGCCCCATCCAGTCATCAGCTGAAGGAAATAATCAAGGATAGGGCCAGAGATGTGTCTACACAGGTCTCTGCTTTGTCAATGGCTGTGTGCCCAACACCCAGAGGGTGCCTGTAGCTGAGCAGGTTGTGAGGAAATATTGCTAAACGGTTGGGGGATGTTTCTGGCAGCATTATTCATGATATGAAACTATCCTGAGGGCCACCACCACCAAGGAAAGGGTGAAATGAGCATTTCACGGGACACACAGGCAGTCAGTAAAGAAAATGATGTGGAAATGGCTCTTTTGACTTGAAAGATACAATGCTTTAAGGGCCAACAGCTGCTTACGGCACAGCACGTAGACTGAAGGTATAAAATACTGACCGTCTCTGGGTAGAATCTTGGCGATTTTTAATTCTTCCCTGCTCATCTGTACTTGCTAATTTCTGTGAAATAAACATGTGTTACTTGTGTTCACAGAAGTAGCAGAAGTTTGTGAGTTTCCATGGCAGCTCCATTCTCGATGGGAGCCCTGGAGGGAAGGGCTGGGTCTGTGAACCCCCGAGGCACTGCCGGGGTTGGCAGGGGTGAGGGAAGGGCGCAGGGATTCCGGGCTGCTCGTGGGGGGGGGGGGGGGGGTGAGGAAGTAACTTAAATTTGAGTCAGGGCTGAGCCTGCAGCAGAATCCTTACCCTTCCTATGGCTGCCCTCAAAGTTTCTTCTGAGCCGGGACAAGAGTACAGTGAGAGAAGGCATAATCCAGTTAATAACGAGGTGCAGACAGGAAACAGAACCTCATCAAAGGGTGACTCAGAGATGAGGATCAGGGCTGCAATGAGGAATGGGCTGGGGGTGCTGGCTCCTCGGGTCCAGAGAGGGGTCCAGGACCAGCACTGCCCCTTGGAGGCCCAACCCCAGCCCATGGAGGGGGGCCCCTGACCACTCTGCCCCAAGAATATTCAGGACAGCTAAAGGCAGGCTGTATCCACCCCTCACTCTCCCCCTCCCGTTCACCAGAGCCCAGCACCTGTGCTGGGGCACCATGGCCCCTGGAAGCTGCCAAGGGGAAGGGCTGGTCTCTCAGCTCTCTCTCCTAAGTGTGAGCTGTTAGGAAGAACTACCCCTTCTCCCGTGGTGAGCACTGCCTAACGTTATCCTGCCCCAGAAATAGCCCTTTCCTAGCTTGCTGTAATCCACCTGTGGTGCAGTATAGTCCATTTAGGGTTTTTTGGTATTCTCTGATTCAGCGAGGTGGCAGGGGAGCTTAGGCCTGTTTCCCAGGAGGTGGGAAATGCTTGAGGCTGTGAGAAAGGAGCAGCCCTGCCCCCACCCCGTGCAGCTTCCCACTCTTTCCCTCTTCCCAACTACTGTAATTAAGCCATGAGTTGCTACTGCTATTGTTTTCATAAGTGTCTATAATAAAAGCACTCTACTTTGAAGGTAAGATTTCCCCAAGAAGAAACAAAACATACCAAGCTCTTTTTTTTTGGCCTAAGGGGCAGGAGGGTCGATAAAGATACCGAATTTGCCTGTTTGACAGGTGCACAAAGTGAGGTTCCAGAGGAGAGACTTTCCCGAGTCAGCGAGGAGGCCAGGAATCTCCTTCCTGAGCACGATCCTGATGGGACAATCTATCATCAGACCGGCCGGTCAGCCCCAGCCTCGTCCCCCTCCCCCAGCCCCACCTGGCCAGCCCTGGGCACCAGGCAGGAGCCATGAACCTGCTGCAATAATTGGATTCCTTGGAGGCAGGGCAGAAGAGCAAGTGGCTGTGTTGGGACTGGGTGGGCTGGGCCGGTTTGGCAGCAGGGATGCTGGGCTTCTAGAAGGGTGGAAAGGGGTTCAAGGGTCGTCCTGTTCCGTCCCCTCCTTTTAGTCACACCTTTCTGGCACACCTGCATGTCCCTTCTTCCTGCGACCCCCTGGGACTCTCTGCCCTCCATGGAAATTCTCTGGTTGATCTGGGATAAGCTGTCCCTGGTTACCTTGGGCATATTTCCTGGGGCCACTTTCCCACTCCTGACTCACAGTTCTCAGAAGTTTGACGGTCCCCAAACCCCACAGTCCCGAGGTCAGTGTGGGGAGTGTGGAGGGGGAGACCTGGGCAAGGAGAGGGGCTCTGCCCTTCAGAAAACAGGGCAGGAGGACACCGGGTGTGGCCGGCCAGCCTCCTCAGGCGCCACCTCCTGGAAACAGAGGGGAGAGCATGCCTCGCCGGGCTCAAGGAAACATCAGGCGAGCAAGCTGATTCCCCTTCTTTCTGGCCTCAGGTGTCCATGCTGTGTCCCGGGAATGGGTTATAAACCAACCCAAGGGGACAGAACTGTCGAGGCTGGAGCACAACATTTTTGTAGTCAAAATTCTTCTAATGGCTGTTAAGCTGCTAAAGGATCTGAAAAGTGAGAATTTATTATAGAGAAACAGGGCATTTGAGGAGTCCACGCCCGGGAGGTGGCACTGGGCCTCAGGAGGGCTCAGAGCCTGGAACAGGAAACCCATCGAGTGCCCACTGCTCTGTCTCAGATGGTCTGTTGGGACTGAGGCCTCTCCCTCCTGCGCATTGGCCAGGACCCTCTGCAGACCACCTCTCTGCGTCCAACAAGACAGAGAGGGCTGTCTTGCCAATCTGAGTCTACCTGTTCTCCCAGGTCTAATGTCACCAGAGCCCACCGCACTGCGGGCTGCATTCTGAATCCTAGCGCAAAGAGACTCACAGTGCCAGTGTGAGGCAGTATCCCCCAGGCCACAGTGACATGGTGGTGGCCGTGAGGACAGTCCTCTGAGCAGGAGGCAACATCCAGAAGATGGGGGCCACAGTCGTGGGAGCAGAACCTTGTTCCAAGAAGCCACCAAACACGTATGCCACCTAATGTGTATCATTCTGAAAAGCTTTTGGGTAAGAATTCCACGAGAATGGAAGAAGGTGTAACTTCGTGGGAATATTTTGGAGAATTTCCACCACCCCATACCCCAAGCCACAAAACCATCCCTGACTCTTCGTCCCTCTTTCTTGCATCCAGCCACTCAACTGCATCCTTCCAGTGCCACCGCCTGAGCATTTCTCCAGAATGGATCATTGAAAATGCAGATCAGACCATGTGACTCTTTGGCTTCAAACCCTCCAGTGGCTCCTTCTCCAGCCTCAGAATGAAAGTGAATTCCTTAATTTGTCTCCCCAAGCACCACCAGAGCCCTCAGCCCCACTGGTGGTGCCCACAGGGTCCTCCTCTCATTTCATACCTGCTCTGTCCCGTCCCAGCCCACGTGGCCCCTGCTGAATCCCACCCTCTGCTTTCACCCCATTTTTGTTCATCCTTCAAGACTTGGCTCAATGGTCATCCTCTCTGGGAGGCTCCCAGATCCCTCCCCCAGGTTCAGGTGGGGGTCCCTTGAGGCTGGTCCATATTTCCTGGTCATGAGTCTGCCTCCCCAACATAGAAGTTGTATTTTATTCACCCTCACATCCCCCCGGCCCCTAGCCCCAAGCACAGAACTTGGCACACAAAGTATTCCCAATAAATGTTTCCCTAGACTAGAAAGCAGATTTCAAAACATTCGAAGATAAAACAGTCTCTGTCAGCTAAAGAGTTTGCAAGTGAATGTGACTCAAGAATAGACGGGAGATGGGGCGCCTGGCCGGCTCAGTCAGTAGAGCATGTGACTCTTGATCTCAGGGTCGTCAGTTCAAGCCCCATGTTGGGCATGGAGCCTACTTAAAATAAAAGTTAAAAAAAAAAAAGAGAGAGAGAGAGCGAGAGAGCGAGATGGTAGAGTCTCCAAGCCGAAATTCTGTGCATGCGGTGGTGAGTGAAGCAGGCAAGGAAGGGGTGGGTGGGACGGGAAAGGGAGAAGGCTCTTTGGTGAGTGGCATGCCCCTGGGAACTTCTTCCTTAGCCTCGCCAAGCATTAAGGATGAGGCGAAGCCCAAAGACAGGCCACAGGAAGCACGTGGGGTCTTCAGCAAAGTGCTCTAGCATCCCTGTGGTAACCACTGAGACCAGGTGCAGCTTTCAACATGGCGGCCTGGGCACAACCACAGAGGCGGCAGATTTGTCGGTACAGACAGCCTTGTCAGAAGTGGTCGTAGTCAGGACGGCAGGGGCCCAGGCACATGGAGATGGCTGCGCTCTGGTCTACTAAAGGAAGCAGCCCAGTACTGAATAGATCGTCCAGAAGGATTCAGGTCAGATGAAGACTTCAGTCCTTCCAGCCCAGGCCCCCTGGGTAGGCTGTGCACTCTCTGCGTGGCCAGGCGAATCCCCTTGAGACCAGAGGGTCATCCTGTTCCCAAGACTTCTTGGTCTCTGTGTCAATTAGGAGGACAGCATCTTCTGGCCTGAGCCAGACCTCCTCAAGTCTAGCCAGTACCC